TTTGCTATACCTGGTCAAGATATGTATATTGTTGCTATCCCACATTCTAATGAGGTTTCTAGTATATTTTTGTTTTACGTTGAGAAGGAGACCGAGGAGGAGATTACTGTATCACTGGATCGTATACCAATTGTACAAGAATTTCTGGATGTTTTTCAAAAGATTCCAGGGTTACCACCTAGTCAAGAGATAGACTTTGTGATTGACTTAGCTCCAGGCACTACGCCTATTGCTAGAGCACCATATAGGATGGCACCAGTGGCGATGCGAGAGTTGAGGGATTAAATTCAGTAATTGCTCAATCAGGGTTTTATTTGGAGGAGTACTTCACCTTAGGAAGCACTAGTGTTGTTTATGAAGAAAAATGATGGATCACTTTGCCTGTGTATAGATTACAAGGAGTTGAACAAGGTTACTATTAGTAATAAGTACCCTTTACCCAGGACTGATGATCTTTTCAATCAATTGAAAGGAGCTACTTATTTCTCTAAAATTGATTTACATTCTGGATATCATCAACTTCGGGTTAGGGAATAAGATGTTCCTAAGACAACGTTTCTCACTAGATATGGTTCTTTTGAGTTCTGTGTCATGCCTTTCGGATTAACTAACGCACCAGCAGTCTTCATGGATTTGATGAACATAGTCTTCATGGCTTACTTAGATCACTATGTCATTGTATTTATTAATGATATTTTAATTTATTCTAAGTAAGAGGATGATCATGCTAGACATCTTCGCATAATGTTGCAGACGTTTCGGGAGCACCAATTATATACCAAGTTCAAGAAATGTGAATTTTGGCAACGAGAAGTGAAGTTTCTGGGTCATATAGTGTTAGAGAAGGGCATATCGATAGATCTAGCCAAGGTCTCAGCAGTGGAAGAGTGGGGATAACCTACTACACCTTTAGAGATTCAGAGTTTTCTGGGATTAGAAAGATACTATCGTAGGTTCATTCAGGGGTTCTCGAAGATAGCAGAACCACTCACTCATCTGATTAAGAAGGGTGTCGGTTCGTATGGGATGAAAATTGTCAGAGATCTTTTGATGAGCTAAAGAGTAAGTTGATTTCTGCACCTATTTTGTCTACTCCACATTGCAGGATAGAGTATCTTATCTATACAGATGCTTCTTTGTCAGGTCTTGGGTGTATTTTAATACAGGAGGAATGACCAATTTTGGAATGACCCAGTCATTTTCCTTCCTTCCCCTTTCTTCGGTAATTTCTTTTTTCGTCTTTTCCCTATTTCGTCATTTTCTCATTTTTCATTGTTACTTGCATAACCTCACTTTTTGTGCTCGGATTTGAGTCCGGCTTTGCATGCATCCAGATATTTAAATTCCATGATATCTACATGTTTACTTTTGTAAAAAAGCATGTAAATGTTTACTTTTCTTGTAAAAGGCATAGATGCATGACTTTTGGTAATTATTCATAACTTGAGGGGTTTTTGGGTAATTATGCAAAGTAATTATTTTTCATCTTAAGGACCATTTTGTAATTTAATTTGGAAGATATTTTTAAAAAGGACCTTTTTGAAATTTTTGAAAAATATGACAAGTGTCACACTCTCACGGTGCCACTTGTCGATCTTGTGGCGGAACCACTTGGAAGCCTTGTTTAATGACACGTGGAGGGTGGAGATTCACCCATTTGTTGGCCTAGGATAGGAGCACTTGTTGGCATGGATGGTGGACAAGTGTAGACTTGATATTTAATCTTGGAAGTTTACTTAGATTCATGACAAGTGTAGGTCTCACCTTTAGTCTTGTAAGTGTGTGTGTGAGAGGTAGTGCAAGAGCACCTAGTGAGTGGAGAATCCCACCACATTTAACTTAAGGTTTCATCTCATTTTATTCATTTCATCTCTTTCCTCTCAAACCCTAACTTGGCCACCATTGGAGCAAAGCTTGATTCAAGGTTTTAAGCTTTATTTTGGTGCCCTTCCACTCACCTAAGACCGTTAAGCTTGGAATACCTTAGTTTCCTCTCACTCTCCTCCACATAACCCTAGAAGGAAACTTGAAATTCCTTTGCTTTCTTTGGATGCAAGAGGAACAATCCTCTTGTGAGGTAGGGGGTGTTATAATTTATTTTCTAAGTGATTAAATTGTTTTTGTAGTGATATTCAAGTTGTATGCATGCCTTGTATTGAAATAAGAAATAAATGATTAATTGTAGCTTATAAATAACTCACTTTAGACTTGATATATGGCATGGCCATGACATGATCTATGTTGTATCTTAATTTGGCATGATTTAAATGAGTTTTTAAATCTAAAGAATTAATTGATTTAAGTTGATTTAAATTCTAATTATTTGTACCATGCTTGTATTTCATTTTTGACTTAACATATGGCATGACCATGAATTATTCCTTGTCATATATCAAATTGGAATCATTTGGACAACTCTTGAAATATAGAGAAATTACTTAGTTGGTCTACTTAATTTCTATCATATTGATCTAATGATTAGTTATGAAATCCATGGAACTTATTGTGTTTTATCACATATCATGACTTGTTGCTCTACTTGTTGATTTTGGAAACTTGGGATATCATCAAGAACTTGACATGGCTAGGACTTGGTTCTAGTGCGGGAGATAGAGAGCTCCTTACACTATAGTGCGCACTAGGGGAAGGTACCCATGGGTTAATAGCCCTAAAGTGATCTCAAGAGTACGGTATTAATCCGGGCAATATCCAAGTATCCACTTTAGTTGATTTTGCACTTTAATTTCCAACTTGATAACCTTGTGATATTTGCATCTCATTATGCTATGTTAAAAGTTCCAATGTCATTTTAATAGCATGGACTAAATTCTATTGAATTGCAAATCTTGTAATAAGTTAAACTTATGCATATTCATTCCCTACGAGTAAACTTGTTTACTCACCTCGAAGTTACCGGGTGTTTTTCAGGTAAGGAAGCTTTATTGTGGGACGCACAACACTCTTAGACTTGCTAGAATTCTTGGAGTATTTTTGGTGACATTGACTATGCACTTGTTAGCATATCATGATCCTTTTTGGTGTATTGTATAAAAACTTGTATTTATTGTCTAAGCTATGTAATGTGCACTTAAATGCACCCTTTGTTACTCTTAGGAGGTGTATGTAATGAGGCCAAGGGCCAAACACATTTTTTATGACTTGTATGCCTTATATTTTCATAGTTGCTTATGGAACTCATGAAAAATCCATGCGTTGAAGGGTCATATTTTGCATAAGGTATATTATGAGGCCGTAGGCCATTATAGCGCGTCTAATCCATCATTTTACACATGCGTGCATGATCACATCTTGCAAAACACATTGATCCCAACTTTTGAACTATTTTTGGGGGAATTTTATGAAATTTCATGAAAAATTCATGCATTGGGCATCATTCAAAGTTTTCCTTCAATTTAGCATGTTATGGATGTTCATATAAAGCTTAAAGATGTTTTGAAACTTGTCCAGATCAAATGGGAAGCATGCATAGCCTTAGGATTGAGCTAAGAACCTTCCCCATGAGTTGCAGTAGCTTTTTCTGTTGCAGCAGGGTGCATTGGCCGGCTGATGAGAGCCATCAGCCAGCTGACACATATCGAGTCTCCATTCCAGTAGCCTTTTTAGGATTTTTGGTGTTTTGGCTGAATGATCATTGGGGTTCGGTCAATTGATCATTGGGGTTCAGTCGGCTGATGATGGGTGTTCAGCCGGCTGATCCTCCCTCGAACTTTCCTCTTTTATTTTTCTTGGATAGCTTTGTTGTACCAACTTCAGAGAGCTATAACTGCTCATTTCTAATCCAAATCAGGTATTTCTTGATTCTAAACTCAAGAGCTTGAAGTTAAATTTCCAATGGTACCAACCATGCATCAAAACTCCAACCGTAGTGAGAGTTATTATAGTTTTAGTGAGATAGGGTAGTGGTAACTCCTAAACGGAGAAGGCCATTTTGTTCTAAATTCATATCTTTTCCATCTGGACTCTAAATTAGGTGATTCTTGAGTCCATTTTAGGTACTTTTTTGTTGTCTTTCCAATGGTGTGTTGGTATCATCCACTTCCCTTTTAGAAAAGACCGTTTTGCCCCTAGGATCATTCATATCCATTTTTGAAACATCGCTTCCGCAATTGTTTTCTATGGGTTCTGTAACCTCATTGAGGGTCACCTTGGTGTCTTATAGACATGTAGTATCTCTAGAGATCATTGTATTACCTTTTACATCCGCATTCTGACTCAGTTTTGGATTTATGTTCAAGTCACCGCTAACGTACCGAGTTGAAAAAAATTCGGGTCGTTACAAGTGGTATCAAAGCTCCTAGGTTTGAAAACCTTAAGACAACGGGTTTCGGGTGCATATCATGCTTTTGTTAATCTACCTTGATGTATTCACATGCTTTTTTTTATTTTTTTATTTTTATAACATGTTTACGTGCCTTTTGATAGCATGCTTGGTGTGATGACATGTCTACTATACTTATATGCTTATGTGTTTAAAAAACATCCTTGTCTGACATGTATGTTTATTTGCTTAAGTACTTAGTCCTTTTAACAGCTCTCTTTAATTGCTTTAGTATGACCGTATGTTGCATACCTTGTCTTGCCTAGTGTTTCATGCTTTCATAGTGTCAGTTGCATTCCGTCATGATAACTTGTGTTATTGTTGACCTCTTTCCTTACATACATTTAGCATCATGGTTGTCATGCGTGGAGAGTCTTCACGTCAGGGTGTTGAGGAGCAGGTTGATGACACCGAGTTTACGAGGGGTCTGGGAAGGCCTAGGATTCTAGTTCGTGGCATGGGTCCTAATCCACCACGAGTTTCAGCTTGTGAGGAGCAGATTGCATAGGAAGTGGCTCTGGGAATGTCAGAGTCCATTCAGCAGATGTTTCGTCAGCATATTGCAGGGATGCAAATTTTGGTACCGGCACCAGTTGCTAATGAGGCATTGGATTACTTCATGAAGTTACAAAGGGTTAAGATCGACCAGTTTACAGGGAGTATGGATCCGCTTGCTTTAGAGGTATGGCTAGATCTCATGGTACGCAAGCTTGATAGCATGGCAGTGCCTACAGACCGATTGAAAATCTCTTTAACAGCCTCTATATTTATGGGAGATGCCGATATCTGGTGGAGGTCCATGACCAATATCCATGATATGGAGGTGATGACTTGGGAGGAGTTCAGGACATTGTTCTTTGAGCGCTTCTTTCATAGGGCTATGAGGTGGGAGATGAGGATACAGTTCACAGGTCTTTATCAGGATGCTATGAGTGTCATTGAGTATGAGACACGATTTACTTCTATCTCTCGTTATGCCAAGGATATGGTGGCGACAGATGAGACCAGGGCAATGAAATTTCATAATGGACTACATCTTGACATTAGGCCACGGGTCTCAGTTCTTGATTTGAGGACTTACAGAAAGGTGGTCCTAAGGACAATGCTAGCTGAGGTAGAGGAACAGGATCAGTTGCGGATCAGGGGTTCACACAAGCAGCCTCGCAGCGACGCTCCGTCATCTTCCGGGAATCAGTGGAAGAAGGCTAAGGCAGGGAACACTACACACTCACAGGGGGCACCACAACAGAATCGGTCTGCATCTACAGTTCCTGTATTTTCAAGATCAGCCAGAGGAGTGATTTGTCACCATTATCAGCAGCTGGGGCACATCAAGCCTCGCTGCCCATAGCTCCAGCTACAAACCAGTTAATCACAGGCTAGTAAGCCTACAGCTTCGACGAAGGGGTTTCAGGGGACTTACAACTACTACAAGCAACCTGGTCATATGAGGAAGGATTGCCCTCATCTACGGAGCAGGGCACGGAGTGGCACAGGTTCATAGGCCACACCGGCATAGTCGGCAGTTGCACAGTCAGGTTCCAGGGTGCCTCAGGCACCACAACCAGTAGTGCCACTAATTGGTTCTTATCTGGGTAGAGGCTCTATGCCTACTGCTTCAGGACATTAGTCGGGTCACCAGGGTAGTTCTCAATAGTCAAGGGCTCAGGGATGAGCTTATGCATTGCCACAGGCCGATACTTCCGCTGGGACTTCTACAGTTCGAGGTATCTTTCCAGTTTTTAGTTCTTGGGCTAGAGTTCTTATTGACACAGGTGCATCACATTCATCTATATATGTTTCATTTGCACATTCTTTGGGTCTGAAGGTCATGCAGCGGGATAGTTTCCTTTGTGTTGACACACCAGTTGGGAGTCCAGTGTCCTTAGACTGTGTTTGTCAGGGTTATGTTATTGAGATGGCTGGGCAGATTTTAGAGTTCGATTTCATTGTTTATAACATGACAGGCTTTGACGTCACCCTCGGGATGGACTGGTTGTCGTTCTTTCATGCCACGATCGATTGCTTCGGCGGGCGAGTGTCTATTTACACTCCCATAGGAGATTGTTTTCACTTCATGGGAGATCAGAGAGATTCTCACTCGACAATGACTTTTAGTATCGGTGACTGGAGTCGCTATAGGTCTTACTTGGCTAGCCTATTAGCTGATGAAGACAACTATTTGGGTTGCATTTATCCAGCAGTTGTTGTGAAGTTTCTGGACGGTTTTCCAGAGGAGTTGATAGAGCTTCCTCCTCTTCGGGAAGTTGTCTTTGCCATCGACGTCATTCCTGGTACTGCACCGATCTCTATGGCACTGTACCGTATGGCACCGGCAGAGTTAAATGAACTGAAAGCTCAATTGGATGATTTGAAAGCTAAGGACTTTATTCGTCCTAGTGCTTCACCCTGGGGAGCACCAGTTCTTTTTGCGAGGAAGAAGGATGGTTCTTTGAGACCTTGCATCAATTATCGTAAACTAAATCATGTTACGATCAAGAACAGGTATCTTTGCCAAGGATTGATGACTTGTTTAATCAGTTGAAGGGGGCTACTTGTTTTTCGAAGATTGATTTGAGGTTGGGTTACTATCAGTTGAGGGTTAAGGATCAGGATATATCCAAGACTGCTTTCTGCACACGGTATAGCCATTATGAGTTTCTGGTGATGCCATTTGATTTGACTAATGCTCCAGTAGCTTTTATGGATTAGATGAACCGTGTATTCAGTGACCATTGATGAACACTGAATATATGCATATTCGAGTCCCTAAGCACGTATATGTTAGGGCCTAAAGTGATACTTCTATCCATTGTTAGACTAATTTATGCTTAATGTGTGTTTCAGGTACTTTCCCAGATAAATGGTCAAAATCGGGATTTTATGCTGATAGCGAAACCTACCGAGTCGTTGCCGGTCGTTCAGAGCAAGCTAAGAGTTACATTAGTGAAGTTTGAAGCAATTGAAGCCTTTTACTCTGTTCAGTAGGAAGGAAGAAAGATGGGTGGAAAAAAAACAAGAGGAAAGGAACAAAATTCCTTCATTCGGTAGGAAGGAGGCATGGAGGGAAAGGATAATAGGAGGGATATGTTATCCCTCCTTCTTTACAAATTTTCATCCGCCCAAATTTGGGGGGATGACAGGAGAGAAAACAAGTGGATCTATTATAAAACTATTAAATTACAATATTATCCTTTCCAAATATTAAAATTAAACCCTACACATCTCATCTCACGCAAAAAAAAAAAAAAAAAAAAAAAAAAAAAAAAACCCTATCAAGGTATGATTCATGTGTTATATATATATAGGAGAAGGTATATATATATATATATATATATATATATATATATATATGGATTATTTGTTATATAATTTCCTTATTAGTAAAAAAGAGGATTCAGAAGAAAAAATACACAGTTTACATAAAAAACCATACAATGCCATAAAGCATTTTTTAGAACATATTTAGAACCAAAAAAAAAAAAACTCCATGTTCACACCGTTCACACCTAGTTCTAAAAACAGTAGTTACTTCACTAGTATTGTCATATATTATAAGACTACAACTAGTGATTCAAATAATTTCGAGTGTTCAACGCAAATGGCTGAAAATAAGAATTTTAGTTTGACATGACTCTACTAGGATAATATTTATCAACGAAGTATGTAGATAGTGGGATACATTTTTTTTATATTATTATTATTCATGATGAAATATGATTATATATATATATATATATATATATATATAAGCAAACAATAAATTAGAGTGAAATTAATGGTAATGTTTAAATGAGTAGTAAAGATGATGGCTATTTATCGGGAAAAAAAATAATTAAGGGTATAATGATAAAAATAATTTTAAATTATCCCTTCCCTTCTCTCACAAAGAACAAAGGAATTTGGTAGGTTCTTTTCTTCTCTTCCATCCAACTGAACAAAACGAGGGAAGTCCATAATCTCTTCCCTAGGGATGTCTCATCCTTCCCTTCTTCTCTCCCTTCCATCCAATTTACTTCCTTCCTAAAGAACAGAGCCTTAGAGCTCGAGCCCAAGTGTTGAGGATCGAGTATTACAACAAAGAAAAAAGTAAAGTCAACAAGGCCAAATACTCAAGCATCAGTACCTTGATGCTCGAGCCTTATTACAAAGATACTCGAACAATACTACAAGGGTGCTCGAGCCTTTACTGAAGGTGCTCGAGCCTTGACCCTGAAGCTCGAGCATGTGGCGTCGGAAATTAATGGGTTGATTTTAAATGAGAAGGCTATGCTCCAGGCCTCGTGCATCACTTCTATGATTGAGCACTATCAACAAAAGGTCAAGCATCATCCCTTGAAGCTCAAGCAATGAGCCCCAGATGCTCGAGCATTAGTACCTAGTGCTAAAGCCCAAGAAGCTTGGATCGAGCAATGTTAAAGGAAAAAGACGCTTCGGAAAAATAGTTCAACAAAATTGGCTAAGTGTCAATGTGGTGATCGAGCACCATTCACTGAAGCTTGAGCATCCATCCAGTAATGCTCGACCATTTGTTCCTAAAGCTCGAGCATGAGTCCTAAAGCTCGAGCATCCGTTCCTGAAGCTCGAGCAAATCATGACATGTCAGACTAAAAGATGCAGATTCCTTTCTTTAGCCGCCGTATCTCATCCCAGTTGGGCCAGAAGACCTAAAAGCCCACCAAATACATATTTTCTTCTATAAAAGAAGGCGTAAGCCTTGATAGAAGGGGTCCAAAATCATAATCTCTTTTACGCTATTATTCAAAAGGCTGAAGGTGTGGTGGCTTTTAGGGTTCCTATAACCTTAAAAGTGCAGATCTTGAGAAGAGATGTGCCACCCGTGACGAAGGAGATGAACTCAACACAGATGCTATCCAACTTTGTCATGAGTAACTAATCCCTTTCTTAGGGCACTGATGTAACCCAACGTTATATTATAGTTTGATTGTTTTGACTCTAGGTTTATTTTAATAAGCAATGTTTTCTTGATTATATGACTATAAGCACTTGAGACAACTCAAGTGGGTTTTTATGCTTTAGTAGACTATAAATTGTTATTACCTTATCTTGAATATAATAATTTATATTCTATTCTCAACCTACCTTATTGTATGGTATCTGGCGGAGCCCTGCCGAACACAAGGATAGAGGTCATATAATGGTGTTCCAATGTATTTTGCAAAAGAACGTTTTCATAATCTATGCTTAGGAAAGGTGGTTCATTCACACAGTAGTTAAAGTAGGTAGAGTAGGTAGGTGAATAGTCCATGCTAACCGCAGATAGGTTATAGTTAGCTAAATTTGTAAAACATCTTTCTTTAAACTCTGAACTGAATGAATGTTATTAAGTTGGGTTCATTTGAAAATAGAATTGGTTAAAATCCCAGAATTGATTCAATTGACCATATTATAACGATTGCGGTGAAGTCAAAGCCCTAAGATCTTTCCCTCTCTGATCATTCACTTTAGTTTAATTTGCTTTAATTTAATATTTTGTTTAATTCAAGTTTGTTAATTGTAACGACCCGGTCATTTGCCTTCCTTTCCTTTTTCCTGAAATTTTACGAATGAATTTTTTTCGTTTAATTTTCCTTTCTGAGCTCTATTTCATGTCGCTTAGTGTCATCTCGAGTGCTCGGAATTGGTTTCTGAGACTCTTTCATGTGAATTGACAACTTCATTTGAGGACCGAGTCATTTTCGCATTTTTCGTTTTTGGACACTATGCGCTATTTCGTCTTTTCCCTATTCTGTCATTTTCCCTATTTCGTCTTATCTCCGTTTATCAGTTTCTGGCACAACCTCACTTTTCATGCTCGGAGTTAGTTTTTGACTTCACGTGTCTTCATCTGGAGTGGTTTTCTCGAAATACGTATCTTCACTTTTGCAAGAAACTACTCTAGTTGCTCTCGGTGTCCATAGGGGCATGGATGTACAATTCTTTAGAATCTTTTTCATTTCTTGGGGTGTTTTTCATAAATATATTTTGAAAATATTTTATTTTAGGGGTATCTAAGAAAATATCTTTTGGAAGATATTTTCATTCGGGGGCAGTTTCGCAGTTAACCCTTTTTATAGGGGTCATTATGCAATTAACGAAAGTTATTGCAAAATACCTCGTCTAGAGCCTGGATCCTCATACAGGATTCATTTTCATATTTCGTCGAGTCATGGACTCTTAGAATTCCGTTCTGGTCGTTTTTCTCCAGTTTCAGAGTTTCTGGACCCGGTTGCCGCCAAACTTGTTCGGGGCATAACTTTCTACTCGGGACTCAATTTTTGATGTCATTTCTTCCATTGTTCATATTTTTTTATTTTAAATCTTTTTTGTTCACGGAGTTTTGCCGTTTGAGGGCGTTTGCTCAAATCCACTTTTCTGGACCCGGCGGGGCCCTTTCGGGGCACTTTTTGAGATTTCTATAAATAGGTTGCCCTAATTTTTAAAATCAGATTTTCAGACCTTCTTCCTCCTCTTGGCTGGAAGCCATGGGAGCCCAAGGGGCTGCCTTCACTCTTTCTTCTCCTCCACTTGATTTCCTTGGTAGAAATCCTTCAGCCTTAACATTTATTGCTTCCCTCGACGTGCTCTACTTTTTGCCCTTATTAGAATCTATTTTCGACGATTTTTCGAGTTTGGGTTTGGAGTCAAGTTGAGATATTCATCGGGCTTCTTGCGGATTCTTGTTCACGGTGTTGTCCCCGACAAAACCTTTCGGTATCATCGAATTCGGAGCACTTTTATTTTGGTGGGCCTTTGGGATTTTCATCTCAAATTGAGGTAAGGGATGTTCTAGGTTTAAATTCTTGTTATATAGCGTTCTTGTGATGCTTATACTACTTGTTTGCATGATTAAATATAAAATCTAGGAATTTTATTATTTATTTTTCTTGTACGGGATCTAATTTTCCCGGTTACTCATGACTTGGTTCAAACATGTAGCATGATTTTATGTTGCCCCTTGATATGCTCATTGTCGTGTATTAAAATTGGAGCATTTGAATAAGTATTAAAGATTTTATTTAATATTTATCTTAGGTGAAAGATTAATTCACATGGCCTTAACTAGCTTGAAATTAATATGTGTTAGCATATTATATTAGGCCTTAGCATGCTCTTCAACATAGTTGAATTTGAAAGTAATTGGAGGTGTTTTGAAAATTAGTAATTATTAATTAATTCGATTAATTAATTTGCTCCGAGTGCACTATTCACTCTATTTAAATTCCAACTTGATATTCTTGACTTACATGCCATATAGCTATACATATATTTGATTTAGAATATTTGGTGAGGTTTTGAAACCTTTCATTTAATTAATTTCCTTATTTAAGATTTAATCCTCATGGTGATATACAACTTGGAATTGAATTATGGCATGCTAGAAAATTAAGCTTTGGTGTGCTTGTTCACATATATTAAATTGGGATTAATTGCATGAGAATTGCAACTTTTAATTTATATTTAATTTTGGTGAAAGTTTAATTCACATGGTCTTAAATTGAATGAAATACACTTGTAATGTGATATTACATTAGTTCTTGGCATGTTTTCCAACATAGGTTAATATGAGAGCATTTGGTTAAGTTTGAAAATCAAGAGATTTTAATTAACATAATTAATTAAAATCTATTTTGTGGTCCCATTAGCTTAATTAAGGTTTTAACTTGATGTTTGTATTGGCCATGACTTCTTTACTATTATATATTAATTTGGGACTATTTGAAGTTGTTTTAGAACCTTGGGATTTAAATTAGCATGATTTAATTAAAGTTCTACTATATATTAATTTGGACTATTTGAAGTTGTTTTAGAACCTTGGGATTTAAATTAGCATGATTTAATTAAAGTTCTACTTTGTTGTTCTAACAACCTAATTGAGTTTTAGAATGGATATAGGTGATGACCTTGTCATGCCCTTTAACATGTATTGAATTGAGGTTAATTGAAATTGAATCAGAAATCTAAAGAATTTATTTGTGTTTATCTAT